CCCAGAGTAGTGACTTTTACTTGGAACAGAATATAGAGAATTCCTAAGGGTGTTGCTGAAAACAATGGAGAACTTGGTAGAAAGAAATTAAGGGGGCTGCTGGTACCTTCATGACTCTGCTAGCAACAAGTAAAATGGCAGAGCAATCAGAAGTTCAACAGGAAAAAACACAGAAAGAAATAACCTCAGAAGTTCAACAGGAAAAAACACAGAAAGAAATAACCAAGAAAAACCCTCGTGGGATCACAGCAAACCCTGAGGGTTGGGAAGGCTATGAACATATTCGTACTCAGGAACAATCAAAACAGGACATGGGTCAGATTGAAAACATTTCCCCAGCTGCACAGAGATCAATCAACAAAGGGCAGAAGCCTCACTGGCACAAGAGGCTTAAGCACAGCCTCTGACCAAACACTGGCTGAAAAATAAGCTATTCTGACACAAGGGAAAATATTATTAAGCCAGGCTTAATAATAAAATCACATGCATCCTAGTAGGCTGGAAGACTATGTGCGTGCACAAGGCTGAGCCCTCTCAAGATTGATTGGAGAGAGAATTTCCAAGGTACTAGACCCTAGCTGAACTTGGGGAAAAAATATTAACTCCCTAAGTTTTAATAACAGCCCCCGAACCACATAAACATCCAATAGTAAAGGGTTAAAATATAACTGGCTAAGGGGACCTAAGCACAACTGTTGACCAATACATGGCTTATACAGACCCAAGGGTGACTCCTAGGGAACCAGACTAAAAGTAAAAAGGGGAAAAAAAGCACTCAACAGGGACATCAGAATCTGTACACTGAGGGAGAAATAGACTTCACAGAGTTAGTACAACCAGGTCATTAAGCAAATAAAGGACAAAACAAACAACAAAAACAACATCAACCTCAGTGGACGGAAGAGGAGAAGAGAGAAGAATCAGTATCCAGAGTTACTAGAATTTATTATTTAAAATGTTCCGTATTCAATAAAAAAATTATGAGACATGAAAAGAACTAGGAAATTGTGACTGAAGCACAGGGAAAAAAGCAGGAAATAGAAACCCCCTCTGAGGGGGCCCAGTTGTAGGACATATCAGAGACTTTGAAGCAACTATTAAATATGTTCAAAGAGGGGCCGGCCCCGTGGCTTGGTGGTTAAGTGAGCGCGCTCCGCTGCTGGCGGCCCGGGTTCGGATCCTGGGCTTGCACCGACGCGCTGCTTCTCCGGCCATGCTGAGGCTGTGTCCCACATACAGCAACTAGAAGGATGTGCAGCTATGACATACAACTATTCACTGGGGCTTTGGGGGGAAAATAAATAAATAAAATCTTTTAAAAAAAAAAAAAAATATGTTCAAAGAAATAAAGGAAATCATACTTAAAAAATTAAAGGAAGTATGATGACCATGTCTCTTCAAATAGAGAATATCAATAAAGAGATTAAAATTATAGAAAAAAACAAATGGAAACTCTGGACTTGAGAAGTATAATAACTGAAAAGAAAAATTCAGTAGAGGGGATCAATAGAATATTTAAGCTAGCAGAAGAATCAATGAACTTGATGATAAATTGATACGTTAGGCAATCTGAAGAACAGAGAGGCAAAAGAGGGTAAAAAATGAACAGAGCCTCAGAGAAATGTGGGACACCATTTGTGCACCAACATACTCATAATAGAAGTACCAGAAATAGACCAGAGTGAAAAAGAGGCAGAAAGAATATTCATAGAAATAATAACTGAAAACTTCCCAAATTGATGAAAAACATTAATCTACACATCCATGAAGTTTAACAACCTCCAAGGAAGATAAAAGCAAAGAGATCCAGGGCCGGCCCCGTGGCTTAGCGGTTAAGTGCTCGCACTCTGCTGTTGGCGGCCCGGGTTCGGATCCTGGGCGTGCACCAACACACCGCTTCTCCAGCCATGCTAAGGCTGTGTCCCACATACAGCAACTAGAAGGATGTGCAGCTATGACATACAACTATTCACTGGGGCTTTGGGGGGAAAATAAATAAATAAAATCTTTAAAAAAAAAAAAAAAAAAGCAAAGAGATCCACACCTAGATACATCAGAATCAAAATGCTGAAAATCAAAAATGAAGAGAAAATCTTGAAATCAATAAGAGCAAAATGACGCCGCATCACATATAAGGGAATCTCAATAACATTAACAGCTGACCTCTCATCCAAAACAATGGAGGCCAGAGGACAATGGAATGACAAATTCAAAGTGTTGAAAGTAAAAAACTGTCAACCAAGAATCTTATATCCAGTAAAACTATGTTTCAATAATGAAGATTAAATAAAGAAATAAAGGTGGATGAAAGCCTAGAGAATTTTTTGCTAGCAGACCTGCTTTGAAAAATAAACAAATAAAGAGAGTTCTTCAGGCTAAAAGCAAGTGATTTAGTTCCCTATCCTCACAAAAATAAAAATAATTAAAAGGGAATACTATAAATAACTGTATACCAACAAATTACATAACTTAGATAAATGAATAAATTCCTAGAAAGAGACAAACTACTAAAAATAACTCAAGAAGGAATAGAAAAACTGAATAGGTCTATAACAAGGAAAGATATTGAATTAATAATTAACAGTGTTACCACAAAGAAAGCCCAGGACCAGATGGCTTCACTGGTGAATTCTACCAAAAACTTAAAGAATTAATACCCGTCTTTCACAAACTCTTCCAAAGAATAGAAAAGAAGGTAATATTTTCCAACTGATTCTTTGAAGCCAGAATTACTCTGACACCAAACCAGACAAAGATATCACAAAAAAATAAAACTACAGATCAATATCCCTTATGAATATAGATGCAAAACTACTCAAAAAAATACTAGCAAACTGAATTCAGTCATATATAAAAGATTATACACCGTAACCAAGTATTTATCCCAGGAATGCAAGGTTGGTTTAAAATCTGAAAAACAATTAATGTAACAAACCCAATTCAATGGGGATAGAAAAGTCTTTTCAACAGATGATGCTCAGAACAACTGAATGACCACATGGAAAAGAATGAAGTTTGACTCTTACCTCACACCATCTACAAAAATTAACTCACAGACCTAAACGTAAGAGCTAAAACTATAAAACTCTTAGAAGAAAATATAGGAGTACATCTTTGTGACCTTGGTTTAGGCAATAGTTTCTTAGATATAAAGCAAGCAACCAAAAAAAATTTAGATAAATTGTACTAAATCAAAATTAAAGACGTTTCTGCAGCAAATATTACCATCAATAAGTGAAAAGACAATCCACAGAATGGGAGGGAACATTAGTAAATCATACACCTGACAAGGGACTTGTATCCAGAATACATGAAGAGCTTTTTCATTCAATAATAAAAATTCAAGTAGCATAATAAAAAGTTGGGCAAAGGGTTTGAATACACATTTCTCCAAAGAAGATATACAAATGGCCAATAAGAACATGGAAGGATGCTCAACATCATTAGTTATTAAGGAAAATGCAAACAGAAACCACAATGAGATATCACTTCAATTCCACTAGGATAGCTATAACCAAAAAAACAGATAATAACAAGCGTCGATAAATATGTGTAAAAATTAGAATACATTAGTGGAAATGTAAAATGACGCAGTTGCTTTGGAAAACAGTTTGGCAGTTCCTCAAAAAGGTAAATATAGAGTTACTATACCACCCAGCAATTCTACTCCTTGGTATATACCCAAGAGAAATAAAAACATATATCCATACAAAAACTTATGCGTGAATGTTTATAGTAGCATTATTCATAATAGCAAAAGATGGAAAAAAAAAATGTCCATCAACTGATTAATGGATAAATAAAATGTGGTATATCCATAAAATGGAGCATGCTTCAACAATAAAAATGACTTAAGTACTGATACATGCTACAACATAGATGAACCTAGAAAACATTATGCTATGTGAAAGAAGTCAGTCACAAAAGACCACGTCGTGTATTATTCCATTCATGTGAAATATCCAGAACAGGCAAATCCATAAAGACAGAAAGCAAATCAGTGATTACTAGGGCTTAGAAGGGAGTTAGGGGAGGGATGGAGAGTAACTGCTAATTAATATGGAGTTTCTTTTTGAGGTGACGAATATGTTCTACCATTAGATTGTGGTGGTGGTTGCACCATTCTGTAAATCTACTAAAAACCACTGAATTGTACATTTTAAATGGGTGAATATTAGGATATGTGAATTACATCTCAATAAGAACGTTTTTCTTCTCTGCTGGGTCTTTCTCTTGGTATTAGAGAAGATCAAACGTTTTTATAAACTTTTTAGAGGAGGTCAACTAGTTTCTATAAACTAGTTCCTCTGCCATAGGAAAATAGTCTATGAATACACGAACAGTCCATGAAGAAACCATAGGAACAGTCCATAAATAGTCCAAGACTGACTGATAGCTCACCGTTGACTTGTTATATATCCCTGATGTACGCATTTATACTGTTTGATGAAGCTGAGCCAGGGTGCTGATAAGTAAAGGCAGAACTCTAGCCTGGATAATTCCTTGCATTAGAGGCCTCGGGTTCTGTAAAAGTAATTAACTCAGAACAATTCAATGTGCTCTGTCCCCTATTTCATTAATTTTAATAAATTCTGCACATTGAGACCACTTAGAAGAAGTCATAGTTTTCGTATCCTATTTACATATATCTCAATTCTCTACAGAATGATACTAATGTTATACCAGACAGAAATTATTAAGTGATAGGGCTGATAAGTATCATGAACCAATAGCTGTAGATTCTTCATTTAAAAAATGACCCCACACAATCAGCTTTCTTTCAGAAAAGAAATAGAAGAAAGAAAGGAAGGAAAGGAAGAAGGAAGTAAAAAGAGGATAAGAGTAGGGAACTCATTAGGCCAATGGAATGGGAAATGATTATATCTTCTTTTTTATCACTCAAATTATAATATGCATCATGCATACTATAATCAATTATGTCACATGACATTAGTTTTATAAAGTACACAGCAAATTGACTTGAAAAAGACAAGCAGTACCTTCTGGGGGAGTCCCAATGCTGCTGCCAAGACCCAAAATAGCCATCTTGTGAATCCTGGGCTCCAGCATCACAGCAGACTCTTCTCCTCTTTCCCAGTGGGGTATTTTGACTGGCTCCAGGTGGACATTATCCAGCCCATCTTCCTGCAGGTTTTGGTACATGATTTGGATGGCTTTTTCTAGGCTCTTGGATCCACTTAGTCTGGGTCCAACAGTATCAACCAGGAGTGCCAATCGCTCATAGGATCTGTTCTGGGCTTTACCATAAACAGCAAGGTTGATGATTGCTTTAGCAATATCTCCATAGCAGGCTATTTCTTCTTTTATTTCTTGAAAAGTCTTCTGAGGGATGCCATTCCTATATATAGCTTTCCCAGAGTTCATGGAGAAAAGGTGAACAACACCAACAAATGTGAAGAGAAGGAACTTCATTTTTTTTTCCCAATTGGTTTTCTTCCTAAAATAATTTATGTAAGTAAGAAACATGCTTTAGGAAAAAAGAATCTCACAGCTACTTGCCTATAACCCAGGGACTGCTTTTCAAACAGGATTCCCCTTCACTTCTCAACAGTTGCTCAACTTCCACTATCAAATTCAGGCACCATAACTCCCAGGAATGAAGAAGTAAAGAGGCAATGATTGGCCTTATTAATAAGGTAGCATTTATTAAAATCACAGAATCATGTCACCTAGTAATCCAGTTTAAAATATGCTAAAAGATTAAAATAAGAAGATAACTAGGCAGGAGAGGAAGAAATAGTGGTAGCAGTAGTGGTGGCAGTGACAGGACGAGGACAGTATTATCTGTTGCCCCTCCCTCTAAATAAAGGATGATCCAAATGGGCTTCAGTGTTCCCTCTGCTTGCTGTGCTCTTTCCTCTTTGCCTACTGAACTCTTCCTTTGAGGCCCTCTCAGATGTTGTCTTTTCTTGGTGCTTTCCATAACCCCACCTCCTCCACATTTAATCCTAACAACAATTCTATGAGGTAGTTTCTTACAATTACCTTCATTTTACAAATAAGGATCCTGGGGTAGCAAGAGATTAATTAACTTGCCAAAGATACACAAAGGCTTTCTAGCTCTAGAGTCCATGCTCTAAACAGTGCTACTCAAAGCATGGTTTGTGGACCAATGCCAGTCTACAAGTGTTTTTCACTAGTCCACGACAGATAAATACAGAAATTAAAAGCAAACATATCCAGTGCTGTGCAATACAGCCAACAGTCTCATGTGGTTATTTCCATTTAAATTAAATTCCATTTAAATATTCAGTTTCTCAGTCATACTAGCTGCATTTCAAATGCTCAATAGCTACTTGTGGTTAGTGGCTACCATATTGGGGAGCATAGACAAACATTTCTATCATCATAGAAAGTTCTACTGGATATCATTGGTTTAGATACCTTTATAGACAATTGACAAAATAACTGTATAATTGTCAAATCTAATGATTTAAAAATGGTGCTTCTCTTTGTATGTCTGTGTTTCATTTTTCTAATTCACTGCTATTGTATTTTGCAAAAGTATCAGTCTGTAACAAATTAAAATTAAAAAAACTCGTCTTTACCAGAGATAATTTGAGAAGCACAGTCAAAAACTACTATATTATAAGGGTACATTCCAAATTTAGTCAGCATACAAGGCCTTTCAAAATTTGGCTCCAACGACTACCTCAACTTCATCTTTCTACCTCTCCTCTAGAGCACACACACGTTTTCATTCTTTTTCTTCTTCTCTCTTCCTCTCTTTCCTTCTCTCTGTATCTTTCACTCTCTCACACACACACACACACACACACATATATCTCTAAGCTTCCAGATACTGAGCACTTGAAATGTGGTTTATCCAAATTGAGATGTTTTGTAAGTGTAAAATATATATGTGATTTGATCTTTAAAATCAAATACTTCATACTTAAGTATGAAAAAACAATGTAAATATTTCAGATGTATTGGATTAAATAAAATATTAATTTCATCTGTTTCTTTTTACTTTTTAAATATGGGTATTAGAAAATTTTAACTTACATATTTATATTGATATTGCATAGTAGTGCTCTAGCTGCGTTGGAGTTGACACTGTTCTTCAAACATCCAGGCCCTTTTATAACTCTGGGTCTCTACATATGTTCATTCTCTTTTAATGCAAGGCCCTTCTCCTCATTCTACTCCCCTTCTGGCAAATGTCTCTGCTGATTCTTTAATGAGAAGGCTTTAAAAATCAACTCTTCTGTGGTGCACCATTTTCTGTGCTTCTACCATAATCAACTATATTCTCAACTAATATATTTGTTTATAAATCTGTCTCTCCTACTCTCGAAGTCAAGGAGGGTAAATTATTCATCATTATACCCATATATAGGCACTCAATACACTTCTGTTTAAGGAATGAATGAGCCTTTAATCTCTCTAGGTCTTAGCTTTCCTAGGGTATGAGAGTACTTGTCTTGCCTCCTTTACAAAGAAGCTGTGGGAATAAAAACTTGCTATCATATTTAAAATATTTTGAAAAATTATGAAAACTATACATTATTGCTGCTTTATAACTATTTACGTGCATAGGTTCTTGGTTTCTACAGTCCACACTGATGCTTGTTTTTAAAAGCTAAATTTTATTAAGCAATCAAACTATTTCACCAGATTGCAATTTATTCTTGAAAGCACATTTTTCCAATGTGGTGTTGGTGAAACAAAAGACAAAAAAAGTTACTATGTCATTTATTAATTAACACTAACCACAAATATATACTTCTCATTAAAAATTCTCTAAGTATTCTGCAAACATTAATTAACGATTTCACAATACACTTCTAGTGATGGATTAGAATCACATAATGACAGCATTGTGAAGATCTAGTCCATATCTTTGTTGTGTAGACAGTTAATCCAGGCCTATGTTGTGATTCCCAGGCAGCAAATAAACCAGCAAATACAATCAACCAGGTAGCTGGACCAATTAGCACAGAATTCCCACAGGATTAAGAATTATTTTCTTATAGGAAACTGCATGCATTTACATATAATAGAAACTCAACAAAGGATACCCAACGCAGTCTGAGAAACAAATAACTATAATAAAATATATGTACTCAAACAGACTCAGACACAGAGTTAGCATCGGAACACAGAGAAGAACAAAGGGGACCATGAAGAGGTATAGAAAAGACACGACGTCTGAAGATGCCTCAAGGAATGGTCCGCAGGGAGAGAAGAGGGAATGGTACCCCGCTCAGAGGGACCACTGGAACATCATCCTTAGGTCACATTCTGATTAAAAGATACATACAGAAAATAACAGTGCCTGAGTCTATCATTTGTACATATTTTTGATATATGTCAATTGAATTAATAGATAACACACCATTTTGATAATACTTAATGCCTCCTAACATGGTCAGTTAAATTAATTTTGACACTAAAAAATGACATAATTACTTTAAAACAGAAACTAATATCTGTGAGTGTTGTACTGAATACTTTAACTACATTGTATCTTCAAATCCCACACACATAATAAATACTTATTTTTAAAAGTAGGTTAATTTAAAAGATGATGGTTTGTTGCCTTTTAATGGATCAGTTTTTCCCTATCAGAACTTTAGATAGTTTACCAAGATTGAAGGCACAAAACAATGAACTACATGAGAAATCACCTAGAACGTTTGACATAAGTAAACACTAAATACATATTAGTTTATTCTAAACCTGGTTTTCCCTGGAACACAATCTGAAAATTACTGATGTAATTCTTGGCTAGAATGCATAATTATATATCTCTTCAACAGAGCACTACAAGAATCTTTTATTATTATTGTTTTCAGAAAGGTACATTAGCCCAAGATGTGTTTTCATTAATAAATAGAGAATAATAATTACTACTAACAGTCTATATTTGGAGAGGTAACAAAAATGGAACAAGATATTGCTATATCACATTCCACTTAAGGAAAACACTGTAAAATATAATATGTAATTTAAAAACACAGGGACTATAGTCCAATACGTAATTTGTATATTCTTAGCAAGAAATAGAGATTTATAATAAAAATTAAAATAGTGAAATATATAGACAGAATAAGGCCAAATAAGGCCCATAATCAAGGACAACTTGAAGAAATTCCTTCCTAATTCACAGATTTAGGGTCACCATACACCAAAAAGTTCACTCCAGACTGGAGTCAATCCAAATGAGTAGGATGATCAAAGGTACCAGTTGATTTGCATGAAAGGACTAAAGACACTAGCCCTCGCCAAGCTACGTGTGAAAAGACGTAGGCAAAAAGTTGAAATATTTTGGTTTATGAAATCAAGAAGAGTTTGGATAACATGAATATAGATTTACTCACCAAATCTTTCCATATTAGTACCAGGCAATAGCCCTAGTAGCTCACAGCTAATTTTAGGAAGATCAAAATGCACAATTTTACACAATGAGTGATAAACATGTAAATGGTTTACCTAAATAAAAGATGGGATTGGATAAAATCATGAATGATACAGTCATTGGAAGATGAACCCTTTTAAACCTACCATAAAGCATTGGCACCACAGGGACCCAAGTAAAAAGTTCCCCATGGGATAACCAGGAGGTTTTGCTGATCTGAAAGACTGTTAGTCTGCCCTACCTCAGAAATACAAATGTCCCCATACAGTCATTTCAGTCAAATAAAATTAAGCAAGCTACAGGAGTATTTTTCTAGAGCCCGCAAAGGGAGAAAATAATTCTATGGTGATCAACAAAGACAAACAGTATTACTCATCTCAAACATTTCCTCTTTATTAACTGTTAATGGTGTTTTGTTCTGGGTCATAATTTCATCTCTCCATTCATTTAACAAAAATTTATTGAACACCGACTAAGCACTGAAGAAACAAATGTATAGGATATACAGAGAGCTGTCAAGTATAGTAGGAGACAGATAATGTGAAAACCTCCATAACTGAGGTAGTTACAAGGTTCTGTGAGAACAGAGGGGAAGAGGGGATTGGGAGGGCACATGCTTGAGCTGAGATTTGAAGAGTAAACAGGAGTTTACTGATGGGCATGTGAAGAAGGTAGGAGTGGCACTGAAGAAAAGGTAACCCAACAGAGGAAACAATCCATGTAAAGTCATAGAGGCTTTACAAAACATGGCCTAGGGAGAAAGGGGCAAGTAGCTGGATGGTAAGTGGGGGAAAATGGTTGAACATACAGCAGTAATAGGAAGGAATTATTCCCCAAGGCTGGACTGAAAAGGCCTACTGTGTGAAGCTCCAACATATAAGGAACAAAATGCCCTAGGGTGCTGTAACAGGGGACACAACGAATGTTTCCCACCCCTCTTGCAGCCAGGAAAAGGAAGGGAGGGAGGGAGGGAGGAAAGGAGGGAGGGAAGAAGGAAGGAAGGGGGTAAGGGACAAAGGAAGGAAGGAAGGGGGTAAGGGAGGGATAGAGGGAGAAAGGGGGAGAGGAAGGAAAATTTCTT